ATCACGCAAGCGAGAGAGTTTCGCTCGAGTGGACATGTGCTGAAGTTTGGTTACACTGCCGGCCTTCGCAACCAATTTAAGAATTGGAGTGGCCAGAATCTGGTTGAAGGACCTCCAGAATTCAACCCTTTTTCACACCCCGCTTCTTTTCGGCCAGGTCAAAACCGTTCTGGAGCGGCAAGGTGTTGCCACCTCCTCGCGGGTCAAAAAACGCACGTGCACTGGTCGGAAGTGGGTGCTTTGGTCATCGGGTTGCAGAGAGGAAATCCAGGAGGTTGGCTTTGAGGATTTCACCGTTGCACCAACTGAATACCCATGGTGAAAGGATTTTTGAACATGTTTTTTATTTTTTGGTTTATTTAGTTATTTTTGTTTTAATTATTTTGTTTATTTTTTTTTGAAAATGTTTTTTTGTTTGTTTTTCTTCTTCAAATACACTGTTCAGTTCTTTGAACATGATTTCCTCCATGGCATGAAAGAACCAATCATTGCAATACACCGCTCAGGGCCGGCCTCCTGTGTGAGGGTGGCTGGCAGGCAGGCCCACATGGAACCTGAAGATGGACCTTTGAACGACGATTTTCCTCCGCACAGCCCAGGTGGCTTTCAGGTTTCATGTCAAGTTTCCACGGCGTATCTAGGATGACTGACACCATGTCCAGATGTGCCGTACCCGTACCTTAGGATGAAAAACTTTAGGTAGCGCCGCCCCTCTGGCACCGTACCTTGAGTGTGATTCTTGGAGGGCAGAAGAACAGACTGGGCCTTTTTCGTTTGGACCACCCTTTGGAATTTCCAGGAAACTGGGTGTTTGCAGTGGCAGCTGGTAGTGTAATGCCCCAGAAAATCCAGCGAAGTGGTCGGAAACAAACAACTGTCAATGGTGGACTGTTGATGAATAACACCACCCTAGCAGATCCTATCAAAAAGGCTTTTGCATCTCCATATGGAGGATTCGATTCTTCAACAGTTCTCGTCTTTTTTGGCTGAAGGTGGGTGTGACTCCAGATGTTTGAGTTGGTTTGGGGGTACGAGAGGGGTACGGCGACCAACCCCTTTTATCATTTCCACAGCAGGAAGGGGTTTCAGACCTGCCACTGGTGTGGCCCAGTGACCTGCCCTGCCACAATGCAATTTCTCAAACCCAGATGCTCCAAACAGCCCCTGGTTCCTCAAAACCGATCGGGATTGGTGAGAAACCCCAGACCTCGACCTCCTCCAAACGATTCGGGTCCGAGACCCGGCGCGTGGGAAGAAGACATCACGCGGGTCATGTGTGCCATGCGTTTCATGTCCGTCTCATCCACCCTTTTCGTTTTGGCCAAAAGCCCAACGCCTCACACGCCACGCTTCCAACGAACCGACATGAAGAGTCACCCAGCCCCACCCCCCCTGACGGACACGCCGAAGCAGGATGTACCGCAGCCACGAAGGGCCACGAACTCCAAGAGCAATGATGGTCAGCAAGCCATTTCGTGTGGGTTGTTGAGGACTGGTGACCAAATGCAGAAGATCTGAATGCCTTGTTGGGTGAAGACAGGGCAGAAAGCTTTTTTTCTCTTTTTGGCGCGTTTGTCCACCACTGAAGCTTTGAGGACCTAGTCATGGCGCCGGGCCTCCAAAACCACGAACGGCCCCGTGGGTTGCAACGATATGACCTCTAAGTCAGTCAGCAGGTCGCCGCAGGAACGTCGCTGCGACCGAACCTTTTTCAAGTTCCCGGCTGCGCCCGGCGGCCTCCGTCGTCCCATGGCCCGGGTGCAGCGGGAGAAACTTCCCAAATCAACAGACTCTCCAACGGCACGAAAGGCGTCCAAAGGCGCGGTGTCCACCGGTGAATCCGTGAGCGGGGTGGGTGAACTCGCGTGGGATGAGCGAGGAGGGTGAAGGGAGAATGGCTCGCGAACAGCAAGATATGACTGGTAAACCGGAGCCCGTTTCACCCTGGTAAGTTGACCTCCCTCGTAGTCGATCTGTTCATGTTCGATGGTCAACCAGGGACCGCTGTTTTGACCCACAGGCATATCTGAAGGTTTTGCTGTTCGTGCAGCAAAAGCATCTTTTGGAGAACCCCCATATTCGACTTCGTCACGTCCTCCAGACTTCATCATGTTGGAAAACGCAGGAGTGGAGAGGCCCCCAAGACTTGCCCTAGAATTCGGTCGGTTTGGAAGATGTGAAGATCCTGGCGAACCAGGACTGAACCATAGAGACCTTCTCAGTTTTCTTGATCCGTAGGGCTTAACAAAAGACCTTTTCAGAAGCTCCTTGGGCTTCTCCAAAGCACCTTTCTTAGGAGTTGGAGCTGTTTTTTGTTCATGGAAGTCGTTTTTTCGTCACGATCCGGACCAGGGACGTTTGTGAGGTTTACCTCGTGATTTTTTGGAACTGTGACCCTTCTGCAGTTCGTTTTTTGCCGACCGACCTCGGGTCGACCGACCTGAACACCGGGTGGACCGTTCCGTCGAACGAGAAGAGGGTGGATCCAGGCAGTTCCCACGATGGATGTCGCTGGTATTTCGGAGGTTTTCCTCTTCTGTGCCCTAAGAATCCCGGTCCTCAAACACATAGGGTTTGAGGGTCTGGACCCCTCAAACACAGGCGTCGGGTCCGAGAATGAGATGGAGGACCCGGACTCGGATTCTTAGGGTGGTACTGAAAGTAGTTACCACCTGTACTTTGACCTCACCAGTGCTTTGATCAAACGTGAACCGACCGTCGAACGAACCCACGAACGGTCGACGGATCGCGGGATTCGATGGCTCAACGGTCTCTGGCAGGCCATCGGCCCTACACTGACTGGGCGACACGGCGTAACCGTTACGCCGTTTGGGAGGGACTTGGCGGTGCTCCTTCTCTACCCGGACGAGGTGTAACACGTCTTGAAATGATTGACCTGGCTTTTCGTAGTGTGAAGTCCTTGGTAAAACAAGGATTCTTCGTAATTCAGACTAGTAAATGATTGACCTGTTGGAAGCCCAGGGATCAATGCCTGTTGGAAGCCCGGGGATCAATGCCTGTTGGAAGCCCAGGGTCTGTGCCGTGTTTGCTCTTTTAAGGTCGTGCCACCGTGTGCCACCGTGGGGCTTCCTCCACGCCCTTTTTGTGGTGAATCGATGCTCGCCTGATCCGACGACCAACCGAGCTGGATGGAACCGTCAGTTTTTCTCGGATGCACTTCGAAGGAAAACACACATGATCCCTTGACCAGAGACCCGACGAATCTTCTTGAGGGTGTCTCTCAATCGCCTCGCTCTTGGAGGTGATGAAGGGGGTGTTAAGGAAGAAACCGACCAAACCAGCTTTGTGGAGTGGAAACAGTCCACACTCAGACCCGACCATGCGGGCGCTTGCGCCTCGCCTCATTCGGCGGTCGCACTCTCAGGCGAGGCAAATTGTTGAGAAGAAGAGTCAGGCGTCGCGTCGGGGGCGTTGTACTGGGACGGTCCACGTCACTTAGAGCGGAAAAACGCAATACCCCGAAGGGGTCTTAGACAGACGGGGGTCCATATGAACTCCGTATAAGCCGCTGACCTTGGGGATTGCTCCGTGAAGTCTCAATCAATTTGCTGGGGAAATCGCTCGTCTCAGCAGTGCAAGGCAAATAGGCCTCCCCAAGCTCAAGCAATGTAGAGAAAAGCAAGGCATTGGCATTGGGCAACTTAATTATACATTAGCAAGGCCCAGAAGGCTCAGAAGGCCAACTCTTTGTTAGGTCCAAGATGCGACTATAGAAGACTTTGGCACCGAAGAATGCCACAGATGGGTGTGGGTGACAAATATCCAAGACCATGATGGGGAACATTCTCCGATCGACCTTGCTGTTTGCTTGGGGGTCTTACTGGTTGATGTACACTAGCATGCATTTGTCCATGAATCCACTCAAAAACTTGGGATTTTCAAAGAAAGTGGGCTTTTCCACAGACCTCTTCTGAAGCCAGACTCCTGTAGACGTTCTCAGATGGTGCCAAATCCCAAGAATCACATCTCCTGAATCGGCTGAGAGGTGATCTCGGCCACCACTCTAAAGGTCAACTAAGCTTCCATTCGATCCATTCATACCGCAGTTTTCAACCCCCCACTTCTATGGCAGAGGGGCTATGAGGCCCGATCCAACGACCACCTTCTGAATCGAGGGATTCCGAGATTGGGAGGCTTCGAAAAGCTCCAAACACCATGAAGTCATTCCAAATCCCTGTGAGGAGCATCCAGGGAGACTCACTTTCGCATGAATTTGCTAGACCCCAACGGGCCCCCGCCTTTTCACATGACCGTCCACGCTGGGTTGGCCCCGTTGGTACCGCCAGTTCCCGTCCTCGGTTGCACAGGTGCGGTGCTCCGATGACTGCGCCTCGCCCTCCTCCCTCTCCGTCCTCTCCGCCGGGGCGGAGGCGACCTCGGACCAGTGGATCCGGACGTCGACCAGTGGATCCGGACGTCGCGCCCGTGGGTTCACCGGGACAGTTGAAGAACACCGGGATTCGGGGCCCACCGTGGATTCAATGGGAATCCCGAAGAACCATTGAACTAAGGATTTTAGACTATAAGACCAGGAAGACCAGGTCGTTCCCATTCTTTGGTCTTGGAAGGATAGGGACCTGGGTGTTCTTTTTTGAGATCAAAATAATTACAGATGACAGCAAATCGATGTAAATCTCAAAAGCTCTTGCAGGGGATCCTTTGTGGTGATTTTGCACACTACCCCCAAACTCCTTCGCCCAAAGCCGCCGTAACCTGACATGACTCACCCAGCCTGCAGCCTGCCAGACTCCGAGCTTCCCTTTGTCGGCCTCGATGTCCTTGGGCTTAGATCGTTTTGATCGAATGACGTCCTCCACCTCCTGCGATTCCAGCGCCTCGGCGGACGCTGAAGACGAGGGGAGAGGTGGGCAACAGAGTGAAGCAGCGGCACCGAGAAGACCAGTCGTGCTGGAGCTGGTTTTCCAGTCCAAAATCCTTAGTACAAACAATGGTTGTTCATGTTGTTCGGCAAAAGCCATCAAATTCATGGCGTGCCCCCCCCAAAATGGCCGCTCACAGTGCGGCTGGCACCTTCCTTAGCTGGCATTTTGGGTCTTGTTGTAACACGACCAACTCTTCGGATGTGACATGTTTTGGGTGTGTATTTTTTGTGTGGGAGGTCTCCCACCAATGGGTAGACTGGTCTATTTCCCTTCTTCCAGAGGGTTGTTGCCTATTTTAAGACCCTTCCGCTGGAATTTCCCTGGTCTTCTGGGGGAAGTCTTGGGGTGTCCGACTTCGGGGATGCAGAATTTCTGCCAAACTGGACTGGTTGCATGAGCTTGCGGTTGAAGAGCTGGTATATATATATATATCACAACTACCAGCTTCTTCAGTTCGTGACCGAACTGACCGAAGTCCCATCCAGTGACCGAACTGGCCCAGGCGACTCCGCTCGGTCGCGACGGAAGAACCGGACGACGACCGTGGGGTCCCGAAACCGGGGAGTTCCCCTCTGCAAACTGGATTTCCGGATGTCAGAAACAATGATTTCCAAACTGGACTCGAGCTACGTGTACAGTCGCGCTTGGCACGAAGTGATGCAAGTGCCAAGCGCGACAGCTGAGGAATATATATGCAGTGTAAGACGATATACAGAGCTCAGCAGGAGGCCACAGAGAAAAAACACAAGCACACAAAACAGACCCAATTTTCCCAACGATGATGATGTGTTGCACAACTGAAGTTCCAAAACTTGTCGTTTAAGTTTCCGAATCCGACCTTCTAGTTTCAGAATCCGACCACATAGTGTCAGAATCCAGCAAATCCGTTTCAGAATCCGGCCGCTCCACCTTGTGGAGCGCATCTGAATATATCAAAGCCACCTGCGTTCGCTTTTCTCCGACCAGCCCTGTGGTCCAGTGGGCAGCGGTTGCCGGTTTTTTGTTGGCAGAAGGGGCCAATGGACTTGAACATATCTGGATCAAAAGACGGAGTATTCTTGACTCAGCCTGAAATCCATTAGTTCGACACTGAGTCTTGACCATAGTTGAGTGGAGGATGGTCGCAGCCAGTCATAGATGTTCTCTTGCTGCTCTCGCCTAGGCCCTGCGGTCAGCCACAGCCTAGGCTTAACTGACAGCTCTTCTTTCAGGCCGGGGAGGTGGTTCGCCGCCGTGATTCGTCTGAGGACTAGGGCCTTGGTGGTCATGAAGCAGCATGAACTGGAGATGTCAAAAGCAGCCCAAATGTCCCAAATGTCTCTCTCTCTCTCTCTCTTTTTCTCTCTCTCTCTCTCTCTCCCTCTCTCAGGTTGTTTGAGAAAATGCGCGGCTAGATTTCGGAACAGGACCCCATGTTGGTTGGTGAAGAAGCCTTCCCCATATAGAGAATGCTCTCAAATCTAAGGAGGGGGATTTCTTCATCAGCAGTCAACATTCAGATACATTTTGAATATTTTTGAATCATTTTGATAAAGACGTACACTCTGACTCGCTAACATGGAAGAAGAACATGGTCCCTTGGAAGACTACTTTCCTTTACGGACAGGGGGTTTTCCACTTCCATGTTGTAGGATCCCTCAAGCGCCGCACACACAATCCCTCCTTTATCACACGCGCCGACGATACGTCAAATGGCAGGTAAGGGATACGGGTGATCGAACAAAAGGGCCTTAAATGGCTTGTGGATGCAATGCCTATTGACGTCCTCAAAGACATCCACTGAAAGTGCATGCCCCCTTTTGGGGCTTCGAAGCCTTCTTCCGAATGGTTTCTATAACCAAAAGCTCGAGGGCACAAAACACCACAACACAAGATCACTCACTTAAATTAAGAAGATCTCTCTGTTCTCTTTTGAGACGCTTTCCACTAAACATTTCAGCATCTTCAACAATTCGCCAGGTTTGTTTGCAAGCCACGAATCGGTTCATCTGCTCGTCTTCCCCGCGTTTGGTCAGACTATTAGCCAACATGGCTTGGCTGTTCACCCAACGAATCTCTAGGCCAGTCTCTCTTTGAGCATTCTTCAGGGCTAGCAACTCAATATCAATCTTCTTGGACTGTCCAGTGGGTGAGATATATGGTCTTTGCAGCTTGTCGTACACTGATCTGGAATCAGTGATGAGGGTTCCTGCAGTCAACCGGGCCATGGAGTCAGGATCACGAATGTGAGGTTCATGGCCTTGCATCTCGCTCCATTGGTACCGCAACAGAAACAAAATGTCTTCTGCGTCCACGGCAGTGCCTCTGATGCTCCTGGAGCCCTGCACACTCTATCTATCTTGGAACTTTGCCAAAACAATGGGGTGATCTTTGAAAGACGGCCTTCGTTGAGCCCACAATCAGCCACACCACAAAAGATCCCTTTTGTTGAGTGTCCGGAGGTCCGGTTTTGGTTGCTGGCATCACTCCATGCAAAAAGAGACACTCTGTTCAAATCAAAAGGATAAATTCGCATTGGTTCCTTGGAGGAATCTTTCATTCTGTGAATGAGGGCGTTAACCTGAATGATGGTCTCCACCGTAGAATTGGCAATCTCACTGAGAAACAAGGAAACATAGGCCGAAAATCTGAAAGCCACTTGGTTGCAATGCCATGAGAGGGCTCCAAGCACACCTCTTAAAGCCTTCTTTTCTTTGTCGGTCGTGGGTTCCTTCCGTTGTTTCCTACGTTCCGAACTCAAAGGGACCGAAACCGTGTGGGTCATGTACTTCTCTTGAAGAAGGGAAAAACTGTTGTCAGAATGTTGTTCCACTTGAACCCCGCATTGTGTAAACTTTCCTTCCTCAAATTCCCCCCGTCTGAATCGCTCTTGAATGCTCTTTTTCGCTGACATCCAAGTGTCGTCGGATGGACTGCCGACGAACAAAAAGCCGTCTACATGTCCAGCTATGATGGCATGTACCTGACCTCCTCTTTTGAGGATCCAACAGCAGGGGTCCGCATTGGACTGTACAAATCCTATTTCAAGAAAATGGGACCTGACTGACTCGTACCATTCGTAAGGGGCTTGAACTAAGCCGTAACAGGATCGCTTCAAGCGAGTGATGCTCTCGCGAGGGATTTTCATCTGCTCGCAGAGGTCATCAGTCGGTATGCAAAAGAGTTCTTCTGTACACTCTCTCCCTTGCAAAAATGCAGCCGAAACGTCTCCCTTCCAGCATTTCCAGCCTCTACATGCAGCTTGTTGTAGCATGAGCTGTCTTGTGTGCCTGGTTGTAGTTGGGGCATATGTAATCCGGTGTTCGTACAGCGGGTCTTGGTACCCCAATATCACCAGCCTTGCTTTTGGCACTGTTGCGCCCTCACCGTCTACCTTCCAGCTCAACAACCACCTCATGGACATGGCTTCTGACTTGGGCGGTTGCAAATGTTTTGGAAGAGCCTCTAAAGCTTCCGACTGCAAGAACTTGTTTATTTCGGTGTCCTTGGCCTTGCGGAACTTCTCTTTGGTCTCCATGTCCATATTCTTCTCAAACACTTCAATGCTCTTACGCTTCAAAGTATTGACTATGTACGCTTGTGGGTCTTTGGACATGCGCGTCCACCCATGCCTTGCTGTAGGAAGTGGTATGGATATTTCACTGCTGCATCTTCTCTGCTCCAAAAAGACAATTGAGAGTCCTCTTGTTGGAACAGTTCTGGGTCTTCTTCGTCTTCTTCCACTGCCATAGGTTGAGGTTCTTCTGGCCTGGCTGTGGAGGAAGAGGAGTTTGCACCTTCCTGAATTTGTGCATTCACTGGTGCTTTCGTCCGGTGTCTCTTCTGTGGGGGTTCTGCGAACCGTGGCTGTTCGTCTCTATCCTCTCGACTAGGCAAGTGTTCAACTTCCATGGTGATGTCGTCGTACTCGTTCTTGCCCAGTGGGGAAACTATATCAGAGATGGTCCAAGGGAGCTGAATCTCTTGGTCAATCTCTGCCATGGTGCGCTCTCTGTTGGAAGCCTTTCTCAGTTGCTCCACTGAGGCCTTCATTAACCTATTGTTGCGAACCAACCACACTACTGAACTAGGCCTCATGCGGTTGTCCTCATCAAACCTTGTCTCCAAGGCCAAGATCCTGGCTGGTCCGGCGTAGCCATAGAAATGTCCTGTCTGAAATCGTTGTCCAGCTTCCTTCCTACCCAAATGCCTCCAGTAGAAAACTAGTTCTCCTGGCGAATACGTGGGACAAGGCTTTGACTTGGAGTTCAGAGCTCTGGCAAGTCGTTCGCTAGCTTGCCACTTCAGGAATGTTTCTTCTGCGGCCAATCGAAGCTTCTGATGTTTCTGGATTCTCCAACAGGGGTCTCCATGATGTCCACCGGAAAATCCTTCACGTTTTCTCTAAAGAATCTCCCGTCGATGTCAGGGGCCTGTCCCAAGGCATGCTGAAATGGTGAAAAACCACGAACCATCTCACGTCGATTCCAAATGCTTATGGCCTGTGAGACGGCCTCATGAGGTGTCACCTGGGCATCCTCAACGGCCAACCTGGACAAAAGTTCTTTGAGCCACTCGATGCTTCTCTCCAAAGGGGAAGGATGCCAGTGAGCGTCCCCTGGGATAGGGTCAAGCATGACCTGTTGTCTACTGAAGTACGTGTCTAACTCACGAGAACGCCAGGTGCCTTCCGCATCAAATCGCAAGAAGTCGGGGTTCCCGAAATACTGTTGCCAATTCTCTTGGTAGAACCGCATGTATTGTTCAGCTTTCACACTGTTCTTTTCCCCTTCCACCAAAATGCGACCCACCAAAAACCTGCTACCCTGGTCCATGAGCAAACCTATCGTGACACGCTTCTTGGAGTGAGGGTGCCTCCAAAACGCACAATCCGCCAACGCGACCGTCCAACGCTTCGGCACGAGTTCGAGGTTCGCGACACGACGAGGGGCAGGGCGTTTCCTTTCTTCACAAGTGTCACAAACAAAACGTTTAGCAAGTTGCAACACCTCAGGCCTCACACCTCGTTGCCTCAACGTTCTCACCAAAGATTCAACGCTTCCGTGGCCCGTCGCCCCGTGAATCAACCGCAGTTTCTTTTCCCATTCTTTCGTTTCTTCTTGGGTCATACCTTCCTCACCTGCCTGACCTTCCTGGTCCATGTCCACGTCCGAACCTCCCATGGTTCCTCTTCTCCTACAAGAGCTTGTTCAGTCAAGATGCACCTTGGGCACATCTGCAAGGTACCCTTCTCTTGGAACATACTGCAGTTACATTGACCCCTTCTATATTTTCCCAAATGCACCCTTTCCAAACCACTACTCTTTTCCGTGTCATGCAAGTGTGTCATGATGTCCTCCACATGGGTCTTCTTCATGTAGAACACGATCCTCCGAACCATTTGGGGGGGTATAGAAAGCCGTTTGTCTCGTGGTCAATCCTTCACATTTCAAACCCTCGCACTCCACCCCCCCGACACGTCAAATGCAACTTCGAAGCGAAATTCGGATTCGTCGATTCCACTCGCCACTCTTTACCTAAAAGGCCTCTGTTTTGGGAGTCCTTCAAACCAACCCTACACCCGCTAATGATAGCCGTGGCCGTGTTCATGTTCGCTCGAAACCTATCAACATGTTCCCACTTCCAAGCTCTACACCTACGACTCCATTCCCAATGCACATGACAGCCGACCGAACGAGCGTAGTAGGCAACGACCAACCCTCCAATGTGTTGTTTGCGAGCCTCTCTTTGTTTATCTTGAAGGTCCTTACGCTGTTGTTCAGTTCGTTGATTGAAGTTCTGTATGGGACTGAAAGCACCGCATTCGGTACTGATCCACATGTTGATGGGTCGATGCCGCTTCACCATGTTCAACGTTTTCCTCAAACCCTCGGGAGAAGTCAAATCACATCCGTTAAACAAGCCGGCTCGGACGGCAGACAAACCTTTTGCATGTGCCTCACTGGTGAGTAGGGAATCAGGAGCGCATGCTACTTCCATCAAAAACGTACGGCCATGGTCTATTGCTTGTGTGACCTCCCAAGGAATTTGATCCAGCTTTTCCAAGTCGCTGGAAGGGAGATCGCGCACTAGACACTCTGGCTCTCTGTAGATAGATTCTGGCTCTACCTCTACTGACCCTCTGGTGGGGCCTGAGAGATTTGCTCTCCCATGGGTTCCACCTTCTCGAAGTGTTCGCGGTGCGGGTCTTGCGGGTCTTGGAGGAAGTTGCTGCTTCCTTTGCCTCTTTCAGGTCCGCCTCCATGGTGTGCATCTTGAACATCATGTGTTTCATCATCTCCTTCAGCTCGGCTGTCTCTGCACTCGATCCCCCCTTGGCCTCCCCAGGTACTGCTGTGGGGGCCTGCGCCATTGAGCGAATTGCAGCTTCCAATCGGGGCTCTCGCTCTCCACTTCTCGCATAGCCCGGCTGTACGGGCAGTCCACCGTGACTTCCATGAAGGATGCTCCCTTGTGCTTGCCGAACTCGATGGTCGTGTCTCCAGAGCAGTTCTTCATCACAGCCTGACGGAGTGCTAGGCGCAGCTCCCCCACTGTTGCCTTTGGATGGAGTGCCACTTGATAGTTGTGGCACATCTCCACCAAGGTTGGCTTGTTGGAGTTCTTGATTTGCTGCATCACATCGTTTCCTGGGCTGCGCATGGTCAGCTGTGTCTGGCGTAGGCGCAATTCGCGGACAGCAATCCTCACTTCTGCCAGGGAAAGATCTTGATGTACTGGTTGTCCTGCCGCCCTCAACTCTGCACGGCACTCGTTGATCCCGCACAGGTAGTGCGGTTTCAGGTGTGCCGCACTTTCCGAAGGGATGTACTTCTTGGGCGCCATGAGATCTCGCGGAGTGGGAACTTGGGTCGATCGAGCTTGATGCGACTTTTGGGTCACTAGAAGCTGCGGTATTCTCACAACCTGCACCCTTCCCTGGTTTCCCCCACCCCGTGCCGGTCGATTCGAACGAGTGTGACTGCTGACATCTCTGCAAAGCTGCTGAAAATAAAGGAAATTGTCCAAAAATAGAACCCTCTCTGTTCAACTCATGCATCGGACTCTGAATTAAATTGCTTGCAGACGGTGAGTGATCTCTTCTTGACTTGCCTGTTCTCTTGATTTCCTCCCACTCGGATTCAGGCTTCCCCGAGCAGAGTCTGCCATCCTACTCTGATGAATCATGAGGCTTCTCTGAAACCCTATCCGCTACTAACTGCTTCAAGCTATGTACCGGACGCTTCAGATGTTCTCCGCCTTGAAAAAAGTCACTTGTCAGGGGCAGGAGTTGGTGCCCTGACGTCGAGCGCTCCAGCTTGATCAGCTTGTCTGGAGCTACCTGTGAGAAAATCACCTCATCGGAGGCAAAGTCAATGATCGCACCCATCTTCCGCAAGGTGTCCACTGACAGCAGCACCGGAGCCTTGCCTTCCACCAGAACTTGTACCTTGAGTTGCATTGGTCGATCCGCATGAGGTAGCTTCAGTACACAGGTGGAAAGACACTTGGCCTTTTGGGAATTTCCAAATCCAAAAGTTGGCCTGTCTTCTTCCTTGACTCCGATGTGCTTGATGCCGTCGGTTCCATGTTGCTCTTTCATTGCCTTCATGTACTGCTCCATGGCATACACGGAGGCCATTGTTCTTGTCGCTCCTCCGTCTATCACTGCTTTTCCTTCCACTACGGCTTTCTCTGTGGAGACGGAGGCCTGGAACACCGGCATAGGCTCAAGCCCTGATGATCCGTCCATCCCATAGAAGTTGCCCTCCGGGAACTCCTCCGGGTTGCCATCGGGGAAGTCGGGGACCTGCTCCTCTTCAGTGGTGTGGTATGTGTATTGAGCTTCCTCATCTTCCTCATAGTGTGTGGCCATCTTGGCACTCTCTCTCTTTGGACATTCATGTTTGTGATGTCCTCGTTCTCCGCACCTGAAGCACGGCCCCTTCTCCTTGTCGTTCTTATAGCTGGTGTGAAAGAACATGCCATTCTACTAAAGCTCATGACCCATGCTCTGGATCCACTTTCTGTCCGGCCACCATTTGGCCCAACTCTCACGTGCCTCACGCAGGCGCCTTGAGCCCCCTCCGTTCATGGCGAGGAAAACGGCCGATCTTCGAGCGGCTCAACAGTGGTAGCGGAGCCCCGGTGACGACTGGGGCTCCCGCGAGGACGTGTTTGGGCATTGTCTTGGGGGGGATGCCCCCCCGGCTGCTCGACGTTTCTTGGACCGCGTTCTCGCGGTGGTTCTACCCAGGGATTTGGGGAAGTTACTATTTCTAGGAGCCCTTCGATTACCAGGTTGCGCTGGGAAGTTTGTTCTTTGCTTTTGGCCATTGGCCTTTGGTGGACCACCGCCAGCTAGGACTTGGCGTGGGACTGGAGCCACTTCATCGATGAACCCATCCGGTACATCCCCCACTCCGCCTACTACACGCGGCTACACCCATGCCTCCGCAGAGTCCTCAACGACCTTTGGGAGAATCTCAACCCGTTGACCCGGGACTCCATGATGAGCCAGAAGATCCATGGAGCAGAGCTCTCACTGGTCCGCCCAGGTTGGCTACCACACCGCCTCGAATGCCTTCGAATCCTGCCACTCCGAAATCCGGCAATGAAGGCCGGGAACCCAAGAAGCATGTGGACTACCGCCTTGACCCTGCTCCGAGTTGGGGCGGAGAGATGCCAGAGAAGCAGTTCCGCGAGTACCAGAGGAATCTACAGCTATGGCTGGTGGAGGCATTTCAGCTACCTGTAGGGAGTAACAACCTTGGAATACTGCATATCCTAACGTCACGACCGTATCAGGCAGCTTAACAATCCGCAGGGAGTGGCAATACCGCCACCCTTGCGGGCTTATAGTTGTAAAGCCAGCATCTAAACAGGCGTGGCGGACCCGCGTGGTCGAGTGGAAGGCCTTGGCTTCAAGAATACCTGAATCGGAGACGGGGACACGAATCGCCTTCGGGCAGTCTTCATAATCAAGACCCTGCAGCGGCTTGTTATTCTCTAAACACCGAAAGCACTCGTGCACAATCAGGCAGAAGTGATTGGTATTCCAGAGCTCTTCCTGCACAGGGTCTTGAAGCGCCACCTGAGTATCCGCATTGAGTAAGGTGAGCTCACACCCAAACGTTTCGATGGGACTAATGCACGGCAGGTGCTCAACTGGTGGAGGCAGAGGCGAGGTTGCCTTTGAATTTGATTGGCAAGCGCATCATAGATGCCATCCCCTTGGGCTCACGACTGAGCTCCTTGGTTGCCCACCTGACGGTGGAAGAGATTTGCTCGGATTCCGGGCACAAGACGATCGTCCAGATCGTTGACGACGCCCATGAGTACCTCAAGGACCAGCGCTTGGAGCAGGCCTTTGACGAGGCCATCTTTCGAGGCCGCCGAGACAAAGGAATGTCTCTGACCACCTTCCTGACGAACAAGAAGGCGGCATTTGCAGAGTTGAGAAAACAAGGCCTCGACCTCTTGGCGACGCCAGCTGGAAGACATCTTCTTGGCCACCTGATCCTTCGCCAAGGGTCATTCAGCCAAGATCAACGCCAGAGGTTGAAGGTCGTGACCAATGGATCGATCGACTTTCGGGAGATCTAGATGGCTATCCAGAAGGTCTTTGGTGACCGACTTGATGAGCTCTGCCAAGACCATGGAGCACCTCATCGGCGATGGCGAAGTGCCACCTACTGGGGTGACAATGAAGATGGAGAGCCTGAAGATGAGGACTGGGACTATGACGTCTTCGAGTCTGAGATGCTGGACCCCTTCGAGGACCTGATTTGCATGAACGAGAACGAAGAAGCCCAGATGATTTTCCAAGATGAGTTGCCCGTCATCATGGATGAGGCTGAGGCTCTGGAAGCGGTTTCCACCCAGATCGAGGAGATCTACTACGAGACGCAGAACCGCATGCAGAGCAAAGGAAAAGGCTTCAAGGGCAAAGGAAAGAAAGGCAAGAGCAAGAGTCCCACACGGACATTTGGCCAGGGTGCACCAAGTTTTGGCTCTGGCAAGGGCGGCGGCTACCTCGAGCATAGACGCCTTTTGCAAGCTAGCCGCAACGGTCGTGGATACGACCGACCATGGACAAGAACCGGACCCCGCATGAGCCTGAATGACCTGAAGGCCAAAACCCGCTGTTACACTTGCAAGCAGGTTGGCCATTGGAGCAAGGAATGCCCGCACCGGGCCAAGACCACTTCACCGACTTCAAGAAGCTCAAGTTCCACGGGAGCAATGAGCACCGGCATGAGTACCGGCTTTTTCATTCAGCCACCTGCCAAACTGGTAGGGGCCTTTCTGACGACCACCGCTGAGCTTGAAACCAAGAGCGAATACATTGCAGCCGAGTTCACTGGCTTGAGCTTTGTTTTTCTAGCGGTTCATGAAGATCAGGGCACCGCTTTGGTTGATACAGCTGCCCAACATGGCTTGGTTGGTCGTGAAACCCTGGAGCAACATGACACCCTCCTACAAGAAAGATTTGGTTTGCGAGTTCAATGGTCTCATGAAGCCGGAGGTAGTGTTCGTGGTGTTTGCGGGAAAGAGGAAAGCACATCCATTGCCTATGTGCCAATCGGTCTCGGGGGCAAGTCAGGTGTTCTTCGTGTTCAGGTGGTCCCCGGAACAATACCTTTCCGCATTCCTGCCTATTTCCTCTCGAACGTCGGTGCCGTCATTGACATGGAGCATGCTGTGATTTGGTACACTAAGTTAGCAACAAGTCAAAACACGAGAAGGTTGTCATCAGGCCACGTCTCGGTTTCCATCATTGATTTTGGCAAGAATGGCTTCAACGTGCCTTCGAATTTTGCAGCAAGTTCCAGCCAAGCTTGGTCGGTCGAGCCCATTCCCGACTCTGCTACGCTGGATGCCCTGTCGCACTATCCAGCAGCTATGGTGCCGCTGGCGGCGCTTTGTGCTGCGCTTTCTACTATCGGCCTCCCTTCAAGCTTGGCAAGTGCAGGAAGTGGTGCGAACACCCCAACTTCGAGAAGTCCGCTGGCTACAACAGCGACGAGAGCATTTGGAGCAGCAAGCCTTCCAATTGGCCCAGGAGGAACAACGAGTCCTAGCCGAAGCTCACGTCACGACACCATCGGCTTTGACTGGATCCCTAGCAACGGCACGACGGGAGGACAGAGTCCGTCCATTGGCAATGGTGAAAGGAAAGGGACGATTCCTGGTCCCTGCTTTGGAACCTTCACCGGGTTGCACTCACCTGGAAGCCGAAGTGAAGCATGGAGCCAACAGAATCCTCTCTTGGCAGGAGTGCAATCAGTGCCAACAGAAGCAGATCATGCCATTGACTCCGATCACCGAACTGCACACCTGGAACCAGAACCTGGTCTACATCCCGGACGTCTTCTACGACATCAGGAAGAAGTCCACCAAGAGCAAGAAAGGTTCGAGCGATGCTTCCAGCAGTGTGATCGTCCAGTCACCGAGTTCGATATCCTCCACCAGTTCCTTGATGATGACCACTCCCAAGAGTTCGTCCAGAGCCATGGCCTACAAGTCCAAGGCACGACCACCGATGTGCAAGCAGGAGACGATCAAGCAGGAACCGGACGAGATCAGGCGATGGTGGAGATTCAACGGCAAGCGCATTCCCAGTCTTGCGACGTGTGCCACACGGGCATGGTCACACTTTGCCGCCATGTCCCATCAATGAACCTCCTGTGGAAGTGCGACAACATGAGATGCGAACACCACTGGGGCGACCTGAACGACCATGTCCAACCAGCGTATGGCACGATGATTTGCCCTCGATGCAACAGCAAGGAGATGTTGGTGATCAAAGACTCGTCCAACCCGCAGGACGTGGAGATCCAATGCATGGAGGAACAATGTGGCCTGGCAGCGTTCCTCTTCGAGATGCCACTGGCTTATGCCAAGATGGGACGATTCAACATCAACCTCCTGCACAACGATTAGCTGGCTGGATGTCACAGATGACATCGTTGCACGATGACAGTCGCTTCCAGAAGGTGATGTCCACGTTGGACTTGGATCAAGCGGCAACCTATGTAACCACATCTCGTGGTGAATGTGTCCGCGGAGTTTCGCCTGTCATCACCAGAGCCTTCCTTAGCCGAAAGGTCATTTTGACCAAGTGCGATGATCACTGGGACGCAGTGCATGTGTCCCAAGTGCCTGGTGAAGACTACAATCTTGGAATGGAAACTCCATGTTTGATCCTCTATGAGTTCATGCCTGAATTCTTGGAGTACCTGACCGACTCCGAGCTCTATGAGAATGAGACCACCTTGGCAAAGTCGACAAAGGGCGAGATTATGAGGAGTCTGGATGACTTACTTGGAGGCCAGGAAGCCTATTGGACCCTTTGGGAAAAGCAACTTGATGAACCAGACGACATTGCCGAGATCTATGGTGGCCTCTCTGAAGAGAACGACTCCGTCATCGAGCTCTACGGTCCTCCACGACTTGTGGAAGAAGCCCAGAAGCGAGGCCTGAAAGCAAGCTTGTCCATTGACCTCGTCACTGGGTATGACATGAACAAGAAGGACCAACAAGAATGGGTTCGACAGGAGTTGAGGCGGCGAAGACCGCGACTTTTGACAAAGACTCCTCCCTGCACGAAGTTTTCACCGCTCCAGAACATTCGACCACATCCAGAACGATTGATGGAGGAGCTACCTGAGGCAAAGCGACACCTCGACTTCTCAATGGATATGCAGGAGGAGCAGCTGTCACGTGGAGGAGATGGACTACATGAACACCCTGACACGGCCACTTCATGGTTGTTGCCCAAGGTTCAAAACTACCTGCAGCACGAACAGGTGATACTCGTGAAGAGTCATCTCTGTAGATTTGGACTCAAAGTTGGAGAAGGTGGCTTGAATCGCAAGGCAACACTCTTTGCCACGACCAATGATGAGATTGCCATCAACCTCCAGCGACTGTGCAACTGCCAGCAGCCGCATGAGTCTTTGATTGGTGGACTACCACATCGTGCTCAAGAATACCCTCCAGCCTTGGTGCGAGCAATCATTGATGGTCTGGTCCAGAGCTGGGTGAACACACAGAAAGGACGACCCAAGCGACTTCCTGACACAGGTGACTTGAACCAGTGGGTCGATGAACTCCGTCCACGAGAATGGCAGCAGTGGCGATCTTTCAACGACGATGCCATTCTGGTGCTCCGTAAGCCCCTACAACATCAAGTTCCACTACAAGGCCCAGACCACAGATGTCTCCGGTGGACTTGGGTGAAAGGAGTGCTGGATGGCAAGTGGATTCAATTCGAACAGGGCAGCTCTGGGAAGATTTCTCCATTTGAGGTCTCCTAGCCCTTTGTGGTGATCCTCTACACTCACCCAGAGCCGAACTGGAGCTTTGCTGAGTCTTCCAGCCTGACTGCCGCAGAGAAGCAGATGATCCTCCGAGCCCATGTCAATCTGGGACATCCTGGAGTGAAAGAATTTGTGAGGCTTCTCAAGGCAGCCGGCAGCAGAAATGATGTGGTGCAGTACGTGCTCAAGGAGTTCACCTGCGAAGGATGCCTCAAAGAGAAACGACAGCCCACCAGACTCCCTGCATCAACACCTCGCACCTATGACTTCAATGTGGTGCTGGGAGTTGACTTGTTGTTTGTGCATGGCATCAGTCACACCACTGAGCATCCAATTCTGAACGTCACATGCCTTGGAACATTGTATTCCACCTTCAGCATGGTGCATCCTACCCGGAGAGGCTCAGAGTTGGTGTGGAGCAAATTTCTCTCCGTATGGCTTCGAACATTTGGTGCACCATCCTTCGTGCTGATGGATCAAGGATTGGAGTTCCAAGGGCACTTCATCTCCATGCTCGAATCACATGGCATTCAGCCATTGCTGATTGACAGGGATGCTCCATATCAGAATGGGGTGACTGAGAGAAGAGGTGGCCTCTTCAAAGAGGTGTACTATCGCACCCGTGAGCTCAAGCAACCTGCCACGATTGAAGAAGTACAAGATTTGGTGCATGAGGTCTTCTGGGCACTACAGACTATGACCAACAGATCTGGCTACTCTCCAGCTCAGAGAGTCTTTGGCAAACAGCCTAGCCTTGGCCTCGACCTCCTCAGTGACGCCCGACAGTATGAGTACAGCATGACCACCGATGACGCCTGGTCCCGCTCTGAGGAGATCCGCAAGGCAGCTCGTCAAGCCTTGATGGACGTCGACGCCAAAGAAAGGATTCAAAGAGCCATCAGAGCCAGACCCAGAAGAGCCCGAGAAGACCACCACTTTAAAGAAGGCGACCCTGTCTCAGTTTGGCGACAAGGTCGACGTGGCAATGTGGCAAAGGTTGGCCCATGCTTTGTTGTCTTGCAGCGCGGCGATACTGTATGGGTGACTCGCCGTGGAGAACTCTGGAAGTGCAACAAGAGTCAGGTGTTTGAGATGGGATGCCTCGAGAGACAAGGGCTAGAAGTCATTGAGGCCGACCTCCTGAAGGCCAAGGAAAGACTGAGGTTCCATCCAGAGAAACTTGGCTACACCGATGTCACCAAGGAGGGCGACCCACCAGATGATCTGGAGATCATCGAACAAGCCCCGAGGCAGGCTCCACCTACACCAGCAGCAGCTGCAGCAGCACGGCGAGCAACACGGCAATCAGCACGGCAAGAAGCACTTGATCCACACACCGTGTATCGCAAGGTCCCAGGAACACCTCGAGGACCCCCCGAAGGATTGAGAACACCCAATCCTTCGACACCTGCACCCGGCACACCAGGAACACCTGGTCCTGGTACACCAGCACGGCAGAGCAAGCAGCCAGCAACACCAGTTGCAACGCAGCGCAGGGACCGCGCACGATCACCTGCGAAGGCAGCGCCTGCACGTGTTGTCATCGATGAAGTGATTGACTCAAGCAAGGCAAAACCTCAAGAAGAACAACCAATGGCATCAGCAAGCAAGCAAGCATCAGCAGTCACACCAGCAGCAGCCACAGTCCGCAGCTGCAGGAGAAGAAGGAACTGACGCAGATGAACTCTGGAAGGCCTCACTGGAGAACCGAAAGGCGCAGCAAGATGTTCCTGAGCCTTCAAGTGGCCATCCAGAAGTTCTCAAGATGTGGAAGCGCCATGACTTCAGTGCCAAGCGCTACCGTGGCTCAAATAGCAAGGGCCCGCTCTGAAATGATGTGGTTCGAAGAGTCACGTATGACATCGACACGAACCGGAAGATTCAAGACATCGCCATCACACCAGAGATGCCCATTCACCGAGCGCATGACAAGCTGCCAGAAGGAGTGATCAACATCCTCACTGTCCTGGTGTACAAGGCCATTCCTGAACACCCTGATCCAGGTGAGGACTACAAAGAACCTCTCTATGGCCCGAATGAAGTTGTTGATCCACCTGAGGCACCAGAAGAAGATGCACGCCTGGTGGACACGGGCATGAAGCGCAGCTTGGAAGGAGCAGCCACTGATCAGCGGGCACCTCAGCGCTCCTGCATCTTTGGTCACTGGCGTGCAGATGATCTCACTGAGTGTGGTTGCCAACCAACGGGACCTTCAGGTCTTTCACAAGGTGATGAAGACTGACACCTACTACAACCACTACCTCCAGGAAGAGAGCTCGCTGTCCTACCTCACCAGGCAGAGTGGCAAAGAGCTGAACGAAAAGAAGTTGAATGATGCTGAAAAGAAGCTCTTAGCCGAAGCTAAGATCAAAGAGATCGACAACCTGATTGGCTCCAATGCCATCGAGATGATCACTGACCCAGAGCAGATCAGGTGGGTGCATGACAAATACAGCCACCGGATCATGCCCAGCCGGTTCATCATCACAAAGAAGACCGGCGAGGTTGGCGAACAATGGAAAGCCAAAGCACGCTGGATCCTTCTGGGACACAGAGACCCAGACAGCCTTCAATTAGAGCGATTTGCACCGACGCCTTCAAGTACAACCGTGATGCTGGCACTTCAGATCCTGTCATCCTTGCAGTTCCACCTCTTCATCATGGATGTCAGCTCAGCTTTCGGCCAGAGTGATCCGGTCGAACGTGAACAAGGACCACTCTATGCTTCCATGCCTCCAAGTGGCATCCCAGGCTATGGTCAACAGACCATCATCCGAGTGCTCACTGCAGTCTACGGCCTGGTGAATGCTCCAGCAGTCTGGCGACGCACCGTCAGGCGAAAGCTGTTGACTTTGGGCTATGAGGAGAGTGTCTTCGATCCATGCCTTTACTACCTCAAGCCCACGGAGGAGGAAATGGCTGGCAAGAAGCTGTTTGTGGCTGGCATTGTGTTGTTAGATGTTGATGATTTCTGCCAGGGTGGCAATGCTCGTCATCAAGAGCTCATGAACCAGCTTCGCACGCAGCTCAAGTTCGGCAAATGGAAGGATGTCTTCGACAGCTCAGCCGACTACATTGGCAGAACTCTGCACCAGCTCCCGTCCTTTGAGATTCAGGTGAGCATGAAAAGATACATCCAGGAGAAGCTCCGTCCTGTGACCCTCACCAAGGAGCGCATGAAGCAGCGCTGCATGCGCTATGTCCATGTCCTGGCCGTCGACAGGACCAACGGTGGAGCGCATCCTGATGGCCAACAAGACGGTTGCCGAGCTGAAGCAAACTATGGACGCCTTCATAAGGATATGCCGATCCCTGCAGAGGAGAGCATCTGGATGACGGTTGCGGATGCCTCCATGGCGAACGTGCGCAGGGTGGCTTTGTGTTGGCGCTAGCTCACGAGAGCATCATGAAAGGCCAGGTCGCTGATTTCAGCTTGAACTCCTGGCGAAGCCACAAGTTGAAGCGCGTTGTGAAGGCAACGCTTGGTTCAGAGGCCTTGGCGATGGATGATGCGCTGGCTGAAGTGGAGTGGATTCGTGCTCTCTGGCACGAACTGCTTGACCCCAGCAGCTGTGTGCTGGATGGCTCGCAGGACTTTGAGATCGCCTCGATCCGGGTCAGGGACCACGGGACTGGAGCCCATGTGACTGATGCCAAAGCTTGTTTGATTTGCTCAGCAGGCGGTCAGGAAACGCTGGCCAATGCCGCAGAGCGCAGATCGATGTCGCTGTGATCTGCATCTCAGCACGACTTTTGAAGGTCAAAACATACTGGGTTCCAGGTTCCCAGATGTTGGCCGATCCGCTCACGAAAAGATGCGGAAATAGCACGCTGATGAGGCGAGTGATGAAGACCGCCCAATTTAGCTTGGTGAAAGAGCCAGGGTCATGAAAGTCTCCCCCGAAGGATGTGAAAGAACATGCCATTCTACTTAAGCTCATGACCCATGCTCTGGATCCACTTTCTGTCCGGCCACCATTTGGCCCAACTCTCACGTGCCTCACGCAGGCGCCTTGAGCCCCCTCCGTTCATGGCGGGGAAAACGGCCGATCTTCGAGCGGCTCAACAAGCTGGTTGACCTACCACCACTTCCAATCGGGTAGGACTTGTAGAACTTTCTTGTCATCTTGACTTCGTGTTGTCGTGCTCTTGCTTCTTTCAAGGTGCGTTTTGCTCTTGCATCTGCAGCCAAGCATGCTGCTCATCTTCCTTGGCTTCTTGATACCAAGCTTTTTCTCGTTCAGTCCATCCCTCATAGAAGGCGTCTGCCTCGTCCAATGGCATTTCATACTCTTCATCATCCTCTTCTCCTTGAAATAGGGAGGAATGTCGTCCCTCTCCATCTCTCTTCTTGATGGCGTCGTCGGCCCAGTGAGCTCTCAATGCATTCTCAATGCCTGCTAAAGTGAAGTTGCCCTTCACCTCTCCCTGGATGATGCTCTTCTCCATGGTGTCGAGGCCGGACTTTTCCAACAACATCCATCCCAAGACTGCGTCTGGTAGGATGCTGACCTGTTCGTCCTCTTCTGCTTCTTGGGCCTCAGATCGACGAGACCATTCCTGTTGTGACCATGTCCTGCTTGTCGAATGAGACTTCCAATTCCCGTTGTACCAGTGGTTTCCATAGCCCCACCAATAGTTCTCCCACCAAGGATCTTGCCATGTCCGTCACCCATTTCTCCCACGTTCTCTGCCGCTGCTGATTGCGAAGAGCTCGGCATTGTTGATTTCACCTCCTGCTTCTGTTCCTTTAGCATTCTTGCCAATGCCCTGCACATTCGTTCATATTCATCACGATGTCTCACGCAGAATGCTGTCATAGATTCCCCTTTTTGCCTCTTCAACACTTTGAAGTACTGCCGGAGGAAATTCCCCACCTCTGGCAGTGCTGGCTCCCCGATGGTCTTTTGAAGGTGCTGCAACAATGTCTCTGTCCCCTGTTCTTCGCTCAGCCAACTACTTTTCTTGCCCATGATGGCGGTGCGCGCAGCACCGGTGAGCTCTGCCGCGATCTTTGGTCCGCACGTGTAGCGGGCCTCAAACTTGGTAGATGCCACGAACTGGCGAAATTCCAGCCAAGATGCTGGATCTCCGTTCCATCCTGGAACTCCATCCTTCGTCCTTGTAATCGTCATCGTCCGGGATCCTGAAATACTCGAGATACTCGAGGTAGTCAATGACAAAGTCCGTAGATCACGAAGGGCTCCGCTACCATGTAGGATCCCTCAAGCGCCGCACACACAATCCCTCCTTTATCACACGCGCCGACGATACGTCAAATGGCAGGTAAGGGATACGGGTGATCGAACAAAAGGGCCTTAAATGGCTTGTGGATGCAATGCCTATTGACGTCCTCAAAGACATCCACTGAAAGTGCACATGTGATGTGTTCGTTGGAGTGTAATTGTACCATTTCCCCTGGCAAACTTGGGACGTCGTTTCTATGGATGTTCAATCTCCTCAAAAAGCTGCTCTTCCTGCGCCCTTCCTTTGCTCTTCTTCCGCCGGTGCAGGAGATCTGTCTCTCGAGGCTGGGGAGGGCGGAGGGGACCAATGGGTGTGTATTATTTTTTCATATTTTTTCCCCAGACGCTCCTGGACCCAAATTCTTTAGACGGGTCTTTGGTTTCTCGTCTCAAATCCTTGGGATTCTGAGGGACCCGGGCGAACAAGGTTCACTCACTCACCCACTCACTCACTCACTCACTCACTCACTCACGGGCTGTGAACCCACTCACGGAGCGTTTGGGTGGAAGGAAAGACCAAAGACATTAGGACCTTCATGGACCTTCCAAGATGAGCAGGTTGTTTGGACTGCTCCCTGAGATGGATCTGTCCAGACACATGGGCCCCCGTCGTTGGGGAATGTTGCTTCGACTCCTCAGAGACCAGGCCATCCAATGATGCTGGCAGGGCATTTTTTTTCCCCAGATAGCGATAGCTATAGCCTGGAGTTCTTACTTCTCAATGACTGGGTGCCTGTAGTCCGTTTGAGTTAGTTGCTATGCCGGTGTCATTTTGACGGGCTCTTCAGTGTGCCTTGCGCCAGCGAAGTTGTGGGACCGAATGGTTGGACCACACCTCGGTTCTGACCAAACGCTGGCAGCGAATCCATTGGTTCGCACTCCAACAAACCCATTGGTTCGCACGGTGGAAACCGGACTTCCTCTTAAAGAATTCCCTTCTTCCAATAAATGGTTGAGCTGGGACAAAGTCGTCCTCAGCAAAACAAGGGTTGTTCGGGATTCAGACTCTTAAAAACTCTACCAGGACCCTCCAACAGGCTGTTTGGAGACCCTGACCCTGACAGGTGGTTTCTGGGCACCTGTTGTCACCAGGAAGCGCCTGTTGGAGGGTGCTGGTAGGTGGGTCAAAGAAACTCTAGGGATTGCAGAGCTCGCAGAAAAAGACGGGCACGAGCTGGGGGGCCAGCTGGGTGATGAGAGAAACGTAGCAACTCGGTCGTACCGGCTCGGTTTTCTTGGAGTCCTGTGGATAACCAAGGTCGTATCTTTGACATGTGGGGAACCATATTTTTGTACAGCCACATCTAATGTAGACTGATTCACAAAACCCACCATATGGAGATGATACAGCGTGAGTTAAACTCCATCAAGTCTACATCGCATGAGTCGCATGAGGCTTTTAAGCAAACTACAATGAGACTTCGAGACTGATCAACCAAGTCCCGATCCATCCCCTATACAGTATACCTGGAAATCCAGTCTCAAGCAGAAAGCAGTTCTGGATGGAATGAAACCCAGTCCCAGGCACTTCCTTAATTAAAAGGATCTCAAATTGGCGCCATATTTTTTGGAGCAACCAGAACTGTTTCTGGTTAACCAACCAAAACTTCTCCCTTCTCGGACACGTCTATGACCGCTTCCAGTCGGAATCGCTGCGAACCTTCAGTCGACAAAGATGCAAACCCACATTGTTGGTTCGCACCCACCGTGGTCGAGGGTGAGAGGCGCCTCCTCCCCCTGCGTTTTTGTGATTCAATAAGCTCGGCACCGTGTCTTGAAATCCGTCCGCTTCGTTTTCTCAGCACGCAGAACACTTGGGGAGGACTTCAGGTCGTCAGCAGGGCTTCAAGGCTTCATGTCTTCAGAGGAAAGTTACCCGGGATTGCCAAAACACGGATTCTTTTTCAGAGACCCCGGGTGGGTCTGTCGACTCTATGTGCGAGCACGTGGGCGGAGGCTCTTCGGGCTCCGCCTCCACTGGGCTGGCTCCGCGGAGCCGTCGTGCGCGCCGCCTGGTCCGGGCACGAAGAGGGAAGGGAAGGAGTGAGTGAGGTGGAGAGAGGCGGAACCAGCACCACCCCGGATCGGGTGTTTTATAGACCGCCCTGACCAGGTATTTTCCATCCCATCAACACCCGAAATGGGTGGTGCTGGAAGAGAGTGTTCCCAACGCGGCCTTTACCAGGACCTGACGAATATTCGGGGTGTCTACAAGAGTTGCCTCTACAAGTCATGGGTTTAAAAGAACTGGTGGCCCTCCTGAGCGGAAAGGAAAACAAAGCAAGCAAGTGAACGCAAGTTCCTGACTTGCATGGAGTGCAAGTTACAAAAACGATTTCTACAATGAAAAACGGACGTTTAAATATGGCCTATAGCCTATACAGATGCAAACGAAGACGTTTGGCACAACTTCTACAACTGGAACTGAAGAGTTTCTGTGGAACCCTCCCAGGTGCCACTAGAACAGAGAAATGGTGCAACTCAAGCAGTGATGGGGACGGACTTGACGAGACCAGCAAAACTTCACCCCTTCTTTTTCTTTGAAAACGTATTTGGAGAGAAGAGCTGTTGCTTCCTGGTTTCTCAAGTGAGCAACAAATACGCCCCAGAGAAAGAGCAAAACGCTGTACCGGTATAGCCTCCTGAACCTCGTTGTTCTGTGTTAGTTTATCCTCCACCCAGGATCTATACTCTTTCTTTTCTCGCTTTTCCAACGAGTACAACCAATGCGTTTCACCTTTGGTCCTGGTTTTGGACGGTTGGGGAGGCTTTCTTGGCCACTCCGCTGCCGTCTTCGGCTCCGGCTCCGTGTGTCACCCGGGTCCCCGGTAAATCCCTGGGTTCTTCGGAAGAGTTTCGGCGAATGGTCCGGTTCCTGGCAGCCGCCAAGCGTTGGATCAGCTTCGCCAGGATCCGCTCTTTGGAGAGGCGTGGCGGCACGGGTGATTGGCAGCAGTTTCCTGCCCCGGTGGGTACCGAATGGTACTGCCGATGCTGAAGCGCTCCCCTGCTTTAGCTGCATTATGCAAAAGTCTCCACGCAGCTGGCATACTATTGTCTGGAATAACTAGCCAATCAGGCATGGCCCTTCCGTCTGGCGCATATCCAAAAAGAAGACCACTCTCAAAGACCCGGCCGCTCGAGGGCAGGGATGACATTTCCGCTGTGTACAGAAGCGATTGGTGAGCAAGGACAAGTCGCAGCCGCCTAGCCACTCCCAGGTGGTGTTCAACAAGGCATACCAGCAAAAGGCCCTGCCACAGCGAATGAGGGTTGATTGCAGCTGCAAAAGCGGCAGTGGAGGTCTGAACTTCCGCTGTGTCCTCATGAAGCCGGCCCTTGACCTGTGGGCGTTGTTCATTTTTACTGCCCGTATGGATAGTGCAAACACCATGTAGAAGAGCAGCAATGACCTGAAGGGCTCCTGGAATGCCCTGCATATTCACGGGACAGGCAAGGACCGTGAGATCAGTGGCTCTGCTATAAGCGACATTGGCTCGAGTGTAGCACTCGTTGTCAAATTCCTCTTGATGCCCACTTCCGCTGAGGAAGTTGGATCGGCCATGGAGAATGATGCAGTGACGCGCGGTAGCTCCCGCTACTTTGACTGCAGTTTCAGCATTGGCCTTTTTTCCGTTGAAAGTAGTTTTGGAGCGCGAGAGCGCTGTTCCGCGTCGTGGTGAGGACAAGGGTAGTGTCTCTTTGCTCCCCCTCCTGTGGTAGGTCGAGATGGTTGGCGATGGTGGGGGGTCGGCTCGGGCGGCATCATGGTCATCCTGGTGCTGCCAGTTGACAAAACGTAGGCCTGTGGCTGCCAGGTCATTGGCTCGAATAGAGGTGGTGCCGATGTGCCATTGGCCTTGACGATGGCTACAGAGCATTGGATATTGGATGCCCAAGAGCGGTTCGTAGACCTCTTGTGAGACCCGAGCACTGGTGGGAAGCATGACGCTCCATTGGTGTAACCCTGAAACACCTGAGCGCTCGGCAGCTCTCTGCGCTTGATGGAGGTGGAAGGAGTTGCCCGGCCGGGTGATGGCATAGCCAAGACTGGCCAGAAGACCCTCCGGCACGCTCATGTTGACTCTTCGTAAGTCTGCATAGTAGGCTGCTTGGAGGGCTGTATAATTCCCGAGTCTTCCATTTGCTACCAAGGGAGCAATTGCAAGCTGCCTGAGCATCCTGCTGCAGCATTTCCACCGGAAAGTCTGAGCAGTTCTTTACCAGAGCGATGGCGTACTCGATGGCTTCAGAACCTATAAGAGCGATGGCCTCCAACCGGTGGCCTCAAGAACCCAAGAGCGATGTCCTCCAACCTACTAGCGATGGCTTCACAATGGAAGCCAGCCATTTCTTTTTCACGCTCCACTAGGTACGATGACGTTGCGGCAGCTGGCGGCGCTGCAGCTGGCAAGCTGCGCATCGAGGCGCAGTGAGGGGTTCCTTGGATCCATCGCCCAACCAGAAGTCCAAGAATAAGATTCAAGATTCAAGAAACACTTTCAGTGTGTTTTGTTTTCGATGATGAACCGATGTACTCTGATGAGTTTGATTCAAGCACTTTCACAACAAAATCAGAATTTGGGCCTCCCAAACCAAAGTTGCGTTCATTTAACCAGGCTCGGATCCTACGAGCGGCCCAAGACCATTTGCTTGTTGGAGGCGGGGTCAGAGCGATGAGGAATTCCCTGGAAACCGTGAACTTCAGTAAAATGTTGATCTTCGCCACTACCTTCGCCGTTACCTCACCACATGACCCATCCCTTCAAGTTCACAAGTGACTGTTTGGCTTGCAGGCAGATGATGGCAAAGCATCCACCAGGTCGAGGCGAGAGAGCGCGCGGCCTTACATTCCGGGCTTGAGTTGGATCAGGAAAAGCTATTGTATA